ATGGAATGATCCAATGATATTGTGACAAATATTGGTGACCTTATTTTATTTTTGTTTCTGACTTTGTTATTTTTTTTTATCATTTTTGGTTTATTTTACTCATTTCTTTTAATTTTAAAAAATAGTTTCCGACTTTAAAAAATTACCAAAAAAATTGTAAAATCATTTGAGTCCTTTTCTGATTTTTCTATGGTCTTACTTTTATTTCTTGATTAATTTAAACATAGTTGATATTTTTCTCTTTTATTTCTATTTTAAAACATTTTTTAAAAACCTTTTTTGTATATATTAAATGTAATATTATTTTGTGACTATTTTCTAGCTGATCTTGGGTTAACTTTTTTATCATGAACTTTATTAACATCATTGGATCCATGGTGTTGAGTCTAACTCCACGAAAATGGATGAATGATTTTAATAATAGTTTGATTAAATTTAATTCAAAAGTGGTTTGTATATTCTCTCCCACCCCTCTTCATCTCATCCCTTCTTATTGCACTAAGTGTTATTGGAGCATGATCTCTATATCATGTCTCAAAACAAATGGTGCATAGATTGCTATTGATCGGCCTCAAAATAGGTGCGACTTCTATATAAGTCCACTTACGATTGCTTAACATAGCGCTAAATTTTGTCCCGATTCGAATAAATGATCATTCGTGGCCCAAACTTATGTTTCCAAGCCCAAGTATGTTAATTTGATCTCTTTGATCCAATAACATTGAGATTCATTGTGTGGAGGCTTTGGTTCTACCAATTCTCTAATGGATCTACCACACTTATGGTCAACGCGAATCACTTAAACATCGTTGATCATTAAATCGTACTTATGAGGATTCCAAATGGATGATATACTTGACAAAAAGCAAATGCAACTTATTGTGTGTAGGCTTTGGTTCTACCAATCCTCTAATGGGTTCCAAATGCAAGTTTAAAGATGATCATCCAACTAACAACTAATCACTAATAATTGACTTTATCCTGTAATTTTATTATATGCCCCTTTTATTTTTATTCACTATTTACTTTTAGCATTTACATTTCATGCCATTTTCATCTTTGCTTATTTTAGCATTTACTTTCTTGTCATTTTTATTTTGCTCATTTGAGCTTTTCTTTTCTTTTCTTAAGATACTTAATAATCAATATGAACCATGAAATCCTTTAATGATACTTGGATTATTTGGTTATTATCCTTGGCATTATGGAGCAGTGGACTTCTTGGACTTAGGATTAGAAACCTTGGCCTATGATTGGAGACCTTGTGACCTTATCTGATTATTTTATCTGGAGCTCTTGAGGTTTACCTCAAGACATTGGATTATTTGTTTATTCTGTGTGTAGGTTATTGTGATTACACTCTTTGTTTGTAATCTGGAATTCACCCGTATACAGCCGTTACTCTGCCCAATTTTTGTGAAGACTTAATACACTTGAAGTTTGGTTCTCTCAAGAGGTCTAGTATCTTTGCTTTCTTGGTTTCAATCCAAAGAATGAAAATTCTATCTTGACTCATAATGTCAAGTGTTGGCTTCTTATTGGTTAGATGTTTCCTATCCCTGGCTTTTACCTTATGCTTTAGGATAGTCTCTTCTTCTCCTCCCATCTTCTTTAATTTCAAAAACCTTTTTCCTCCTTTTGAAAACTCCTCTTGTTTTGAAACTTGAACCATTTTCATAATAAACTTAGACTTAGGTCCATGCATTTTCAAAAACGATTTCATGAATAAACTTCAATCAACTTAATAATATTTTGACATCATTCTTTTGTGAGAAGACTAAAAGTCAATCAATCTCATTTAAAATCATTTTTGCCATATTGGCTTTCTTATTTTAAAACCTTTCTCAAAAGCTTAGACTCTTGTCAATCCTTGTAGTGATGCAAACAACTATACTTCTACAATATGTGGTGAAGAGAGATATTTTCCACTTGGGTGTTGGTGAAGCATTGTTGATTTTAAAATCCAAGCCATATCCTCCACTTTGAGATGATGTAAATTCTCCTTTCACATGATTGTGGATAGTAGGTATGTTTTCCACACAGACAATAACGATGATGTTTTATCTCATAAAAATTAACAAACACACTTACATTTTAAAATTTTTAAAGAGGAACTACGTGTACCCTGATCCGCTATTGCACAAAAAGGTGGTACGTAGGCACTAAAGGTTCACAACCGCGGCGGGTGCAAAAACCATAAAAAATATATTTCTTTTCTCACTTCCACCATCCATTTTTTACACAATATTTCATAGCCAAAATATACAGACTTTTACAAAGAGGTTCCTGCGGAGTACCGTAGATGTTTAGGGTGCTAATAACTTCCCTTTACATAACCAACCCCCTTACCTTGAATCTTTCCCCCTCTTTTTTGGGTTATTCGCTCTTTTCCCATTCCTTTGGAAACAATAAAGCGCGGTGGCGATTTTTATTTTTGATCTATATAAGTCTAGTCAATCCAATGACTTAGTCTTGAACATTTCTACCGCTACACAGACCAGTTCCATTCTCTTTGTCTCTTCAAGACGATTGCAATGGTACCCTCACGAAAAATTTATATTAACCATAACTTAGTCGATTTAGAAAAAACCAGAAGAAAAAAATTGCAAAGGGATTTTAAAATTTTGAAACAACCGGATGAACAATTCATCGAGATGAAATCAATGAAGTCGCCATCGAACATTTTTTATCCCACGGGAAGGGAAAGGTAAACATTGAGTAAACTTGAGAAGGGTGAAATCAAGGTCAAACGAGCGAGAGATAAGGTAAGGGAGTCTGTTATGCGAGGGAAAGGTATTAGCACCCCACACGCTTGTAGTACTCTATGTTATCCACTCATATTGTTCTAATCAAAGGGTGCATTCAAATATAAAGCTTAAGAGCTAAGGAGAAAAAAAATTCAAGGAGGGAATGCACGTAAAAGAAAACAAGGAGAAAAGAAGGAAATATTTACAAAGTTTTGTTCGACTGAGCCCTGTGACCAGATGCATACGTATCCCTTTTAAGGAATCAGAGCATCATAGTTTGACTCATATGTTTTAGTTTGTTTTGTGTTTTTTAATGAAAAATATGAATTTCACCTTCTTCGGCAACTCGACCTTTGGAGATTCACTTGTCAGCACATAAGTGAATTAACAAGTTCTTTTGAAAGTTCGAAAGAAAAGCCCGAAGGTAAAAAAAGTGTTTGCATTGGTTGATTTTTTTTAGCTTAAAGAAGGATTTGAAAGTTTTTAGATGTTTTATGCATTTTCCAAGAAAAGAGGTTTTAGTCTTAATGCAATGATGCAAATGAAAGAAAAACATCTAAGGGAAATTAGCTAGAATCTAATCCTTAATGTTATCATAAAATAATTGATCCTAAGGCTGAGTTTTGAAAGGGAAATCTCTACACTATGTTAGCATGCATGGATTACAATCCTAATATCTATCTCGAATCACCATTAAAGGATGAATCAAGAACTCCTAAGAGAACATAGCAAATGTTCACAACCTAAACCTACGTTTATCTCGAATCACAACTAAAGGGTGAATCAAGAGCTCCTAAGGGAACATAGAAAAGGTACACAACCTAAGAAAACATGTACATAAATGGAAAGCAAGTAATCAACAAGCTCAAGAGAGCACACACATGTCATGAGTAACACACACTAACTCAAGTCAAAATTCCTAACCAAGATATCATGAATCGAGGCAGGAGATAGGGGAATCTTTATCCAAGGGGATATATCAACCAAGGAAAACAAGCTAACTTTAGCCTAGGGGTCATATCAACCGAGGAAAACAAGCTATTTGTGGGGATAAAGTGTCTACCATGGTGTCGTATTACCAAGCAAGAAGAGTAAGGGGAATTGAATGTCCAAGGTGACTAAGCACCTAACTAAGATATCTAAAGTTGAGGTAGGAGATATACAACAGTATGAACAAGAAAAAAGCATCAACATCGATCAATGAGAACTCCTAAAAAAGTGTAGCAGTTTGATTGTGAAACCCTTTTCCACTTGACGAATCGATAACAAGAGTAGGAACAACTCTGAAGCATCGTGGTGCATCACGAGCTAAGGATGGCACGGACGAAATGCAGGGGTTGATTGTGAACCCTCTTTGTTTGCCTCCTTTTGAGGACTTATCAAGGGGGAATGGGAATGGGCGCCTTCTCTGAGGTCTTTAGGCACAAATATAAACACACTACAAAAACACCTACTTCATGGTAGGTCTTTAAACAAATGACAAACGCAGTTAGAAAACAAGTGCAAAATGCCTGCTACAGGACTTTTAAACAACGACTTCAAGTGTACGCTCATTATTTCATACTTCTCATGATATCTAGAAAAAAGTAAAGTGCAGAAACAGTAAAATAGAATTAGAATGTTACCGAGCAAACAAAAGTTTGTAACACAGCAAGCAAAGCAGAGAAACCCGGAAAACTTCGAGAAAGCTTCACCAAGCAATAAAGAAGAGTTGGAAATAAAATTCTCAGGATAAGCGTCGAAGCATCATCGAAATGAAAATAAATCACAATCGGAATCTCAAGCATATCTGCATATCACACAATAAACATTCATAAGACTCAGATCTCAATAAGCAAAGGTGAGTTGCAAGTATCGAGTAATCGGATAATCATGAATTAATTCTTAAAATCAAATAAGAAAATCTAACAAACTTTTATTGATTTTATCATCTTTTATCATGAGGAGAAAATTCAAACAAGTTGAAATTATTAATGAAATTGAAATAAAAACATAGAGAAACCCAGGGGTGTAAGTTGAATCCAGTGGTGTAGAAGCAAAGCATTACGCCCAAAAGTTTCAGTTCAATAAGCCTTTTTGTGACACAAAGCTTCTAGCCAAAAAGAAACATGGTGTATTGGGCCAGGCCATATGCAATTGAGTCCAATTCTTTTCCTTTAATCCAACAAAATACTCACCACCAGCTTTAGATTTTCCACATTTATTCAATTGTTATTTAGAAATAAAGGAAACAAATAAAAAGAAAAAGAGTGAATGAGGAAACGACATCATTTTAGTGTTAGGGTTATATTTATTACTTTCAAACTACTAAAAGCAAACAATATTCTCTTCTCTTATCTCTTCATTGGTGCCAGAATCTCAAACTTCTTCCTCTCATGTTTAGACAACCTTTCTTCTTCACCGTACAATTTCGTTCTCACCACCACTAAGCTCCACCAATATCCGTCTCAAACTCTTCGTCTCAATCATTCCGAGTTCGCTTCCATTCTTCTCAATGGCTCAAACCTTCGTTCGTCAACCTTAACAACATGGTGGTCGCAGTTTCTCTCTTTCAAAGCTCCGTCTCCTATCAATCTTCGTCTATAATAAAATAAATAGTAACAAGTTCCTCTACTGATGAACAAAGAAACAACTGCCTCTGATTTCTCTCTCTTTCAAATCGGTTCCCTCTTCATGGTTTCAGATCCAGTTACGAATTCATTTCGCGATTCAAATAGTCCAAAACAACAATACCGATCGAACCATAATGGAAAAGGTTGAAGAGAGTTACCTACTGGAGACGAGTCCGGTTCTCTTTCAACACCGTTGTGATGACGAGAAATTCAGAGGTTCATGTATGTGTTTCGTACTCGATTCTACCTTTTCTCTTATTCTCTATCTTTTATGCTTTTCTGCGAATTGCTGCTTTGTGCGCTTGTGTATTGAGAGAGAGAGAGAGAGAGAGAGAGAGAGAGAGAGAGAGAGATCTTGATGGTGATTCTTCAGAGAATTGAAGAATAAGTCTCAACAAATGTGAGTTTATGTTTCATGCTGTTAGAGTTTGTTAGGATTAAAATAAATCTGAGTTGTTGAATCTAAAGTTAGTTACAAGCTTGAAGGGTTGAGATCGAATCTGAGTTTTTTTTTTATATTTTAGATATTTTCCTCTAGAACTTGTTTTATCTGTTAACTTGTTTTTCTTGATAACTGGACTGGTTTTTTTGGATTGAGTTTTTTATCAGTTTCACGATTTTCTTTTGATTTTCCTGATAAATCTCTGGTTTTCTATTTTTCTGTTAGTTAGCATTCCTCCAAAATTTTGTTATGTTGTGCTGATTTTAACTGGGTTTTTCACCGATGCAAGGCGATTTGCAATATCTGGTTTGATATCTCCTTTATGCAGTGAATCGGATGCACCGGATATTGTAACTTGTTTCTGTTTTTTCCAAAACTAATGTAGGGTGTAATTTTGTGCAAGAATTTCAATGGGATGCCTATTGTGAAACATGGCTTTGGTTATGTACGATGTGAACTGGTGTAAAAGTTAGCGAAAATGGCGAAATGTTTTGGATGAACAAGTTTTGGGCAGAAGTGCCGAACTGGTTTTGCAAGGCTGCTCCACATTGGTTTCAAAATTGAAGCTTGAGGGATTTGAATTTTAGCATGGAATTTCTTGCCAAATATTGGCTTTAGGTTTATTTTACATATAGTTTGCCATGTTAATTTCTTGCAGTATTGATTTGAACTTGTAACATCTTGAAATTGTAATGGATTTCTTTTCCCCTCTAAATCTCCTCACTTGAATTTTCAAAGTCTTTTCCCAAATTTTGAGTGATGTTTGCACATATTGGACAACCTAGTCTTAACTTGATTCGTCCTTACATTGTACCAAATTTAAATCACCTTTTGAAATGGTTAATGACATTTTGGTAACTTGAATTTGAATACTTGAAAATGAGCACACTTAGACATGGGCATATGTGATAACTTCAAATGGCATGAAATAACACGTATCTTAGCCTTATTTCCAATTTGGATCTTAGTTAACTTGTCTCTTGTTGTATCCTAAGATTTATTCTACCATTTTCTTTAAGACTTTCTCATGAGGTTCCCATTGGCTCAAGACTACTCAAGAATTGACTGGTCAAACCTCCTCTTAAACATTGGCTTATAACTAGGGTTTTGGTTTTCTCAAGGAAAATTGGGCTTCCGATGCCTCAAGTGACTTTCATGGTTCATCATAATTCCTCAACAATGCTCATGTCAAATTTCAATCCTTGCATCACAAATTTTCCCAATCAATTACTCAGATGACCGAAAATCAACTACATTAGGTAAAAAGTCAATTATGGTCAATATGCAGTCATACTTCAATATTTTTGGTCAATATTACTATTTTGAAGTTATATTCATCATTTGATCAAGGGTTGACCATGATTCATCAAGGAAAACCCTTAAATCATCAGAGGTCAAAAATTGCCCAAATTAGGGTTTTGACTGAAGATGACTGATCATTGACTGTTGACCTAGTGCATGACCTAATGGCTTGAAGCATGACCTCAATAAATCAAGTACAACATGTTGACCTAATTACATGGCTCAAAACATTTTCAAAGATGCAAGTGATTGATAGTTGAAGAATTGAATCAACTGATGAAAAGTCAACAGTCACTCAAAAGTCAAACTTTGAATTTTTGGTCAACATTGGGATTCTGTTAAGAATCACCAAGATATTCAAACTATCAAACTTGATCATCAATAAATCAAAAAGTCAACAAAAGTCAAATTTGGAAAATTTTCTAACACTTAGAAAAATTCTAAGTGTTTTTTGTTCTTAACAAAAACCCTAACTTCACAAGCAAGTTTCCTCAAGATGCAAGTTGATTCAAAGAAAATTTTCAACATAAAAGTTGTAGGGATTGATGAATTCTACAACTTTGTAAATGAGGGTTGATTTTCAAAAAGTTCTTGGATTAAGATATATAAGCTCATGAAGTTAGGATGTTTTTATCCAACACTTATAAATTTTTTTACAAGTTTGGATCAGATTTTTGTTCCAACTTCATGGCCACTTTTCACCAAGTTCCCATTTGATTTAGCCAAAACTCACAACATGAAAGTTGTATACAATGTTTCAAGGTTTCCAAAATATCTAAGAACAGAATTTTATCATGCTTGAGAAAGAAGAATCAAAGAGATGAAGTTAAGTATCTAAGGTTGTATTATAAGTCATTTTTGTGACAAGTTCATAACTCAATCTTCAAGCCATGCTGCATAATCCCACTTTCCAGGCCTCTAACCTCTAAATATATCCATAATTAGAAGATTACACAAAATTTTGAGCCATAATCCAAGTGATTCAAACATTGTCCAATGCATCATTCCATTTTTGGGAAAAAGATCACACTTCCATTTTTGTAAAGCAACCTTTAATCACAAAGTCAACTTCTTGAGCCAACTTGTTGCATCTGAGTACAAGCAATATCTAACATCAGAAGTAACATCCATGCACCCAAAAAACACAAATCATGCTTATACTTGGACCTTGGAACCATAGAAACTCATCCAACTTAATTTTTCACTTTTTCAAACCATAACTTGTTATCTTTTAATTCTGGTTACTTGAGTCTTTCAAACCTTTTCACTATAAATAAAGGGATCATTTGCAAGCCATACCACGAATTGACAACCTCAAAAAACCTCTCAAGATCAGAAGCTACATATAAAACTCCATTGTTGCAACTTCTGGCTTGAACACCAAACACTCAATCCACTCGTGCATTTTCACTCTAAATCATTTAAAAAGCTTCTATAACTCATATGAACTCATCCAAAGACCTGTTTCATCACTGTAACACCATCTTCATCATCTTCGAAACTTAAAAACAGAGCTTTGAAACTTGGCTTGTCCAGAAGAATTGAGGCACTCTCAATCCAAGGTAAGCATTGCAAAAGTTTCCTGGGAGTTCAGCGAAGCTATCCATCTCAACACCTCCAGAAGTGCTCTAACTCCAGACTCGATTATCACTTCAGAGGTAATTTTCTCTAACTTTGATATCCTTATCCATACATCATTTGCTTTCGATTTCAAAAGATAAAATATAGATATCATTGCCCCAAAGCTAACCATGTCCTTAGTTTTCATTTTAATTGACTATGTGATGAGAATTTTGAAACTGAAATTTCTAAAATTTTAGGGTTCAATTTGGTACAAAACAAAATTCATCCTAACCATTTATCTATAACTTTTGAAATTTATATGGTTGGATTCGTGATTAAAAGTTAAGCAAGTTTGATGTTTACATTTTTTTGATTTGGTTGAGAAATGAGCATTTTCAAGAATCAACAAGGTGTTGTTGTTGTTGGCGCGAGGAAGAAGAAGATGACAAAATTCAAAATTTCAGGACTTGGTTTATTTTATATTTAGTGCAAGTGGTATAATGACCAGATGAAACAACCACCCAAGTGACAAGCGCGCGCGTACAAAGTTACTTCTTACCTCAAGGGCACGTGTTCGAACCATAGTGAACCCCCCTTTTGCATTTTATTTATTTATTTCAGTTTTGCTTATTTTCACCCCCAAATTCCTTTCATCACGCATGCCCATTCCACTTTTATATTTTTTTTATTCAAACAAAAAGACCTTCTTGGACCTGGACGTCTACCATCACCCCCTTGATTATTGTATACAAATACAGGTCCATTTTCTTTTTTTATTCTTTTAATTTAATTAATAATTTTCTTTTCTTTTAACTATTTTTATTTAAAATCAAAAAAATTATAAAATCATAAAAAATAGAATTAGGTTTTAATTAACTAATTTAATTTTTTTATAAATAAAATTTAAATTAAATCACTTTGTTGTATTAATTAGTTTACAAAAATAATTAGAATTAGAATATCTTTTTCTAAATAAAACCTCAAAATTATTTTCTAACAATTAGATTTATTTTTTAAAATTAATTTAGACTTAGGTTTTTTTTTTCAAATTATCTTTCCTTTTAATTAATTAAATTAATTGATTTTATTTATTAAATTAGTTTCTTTAGGTTTTTACTAAAGTTTTCTTGTTGAAAATTAATAAAAAATTAGGTTAATCATCAAACTCTTTTCTATCAAAAAATCACCAAAAATAATTTCTTCTCTCTTTGCTTTATTTTTGTGTGTATTTCATTAATTCAAATTTTTTTCGATTATGTAATTATTTATGGTCTGTAATAGATAATTACAGCTTATTGCTTTTCATCCTCATTCATAAACTTGTAACCCCCATCTCCGAAGCATTGTAATAGCATAGGATATTTAATTTCCGCAATTTACTGCTTTCCTTATTACTATTAGTAATTAGGGTTTGTATGACAAGATTTAAAGTCAACTGTTAGATAACCTAATTTCAAGACAAAATACCTGAAATCAAAATACTTTACACATACGCACCTCTAGGGTAACCTCACTTGTTGCCTCAAATTTAAATAGTCATGTCCCTCGAACGTGAGATGCTTTAGTAAAAGACCCTCGGTTAAATATTGTAGTCCCTCGATGACCCTTCGATGTTTCCTTCGGTAAACGATCTTAGTCCCTTACGACAATTGCTAAAGCGTCTTACA